AAAAAAAAAAAAAAATCTCAGGACACCCCCCAACTCCTTATCCAAAAGAGGTCAAACCAGGAGGCTGAGTCATGCAAAACCCCCTTTCAAATGAATAGCTTTTACTAACATTATGCATCAATCAGACTCCCAGGAAAGATAAAAGGCCTTAGGACTGCCCCCGTAGATCATTCATAAGGAAATTCTTTGCTGGCCTCCCACAAACAAGGACATGTAAATTGTAACTTTGAGTCTGCAGGCTAAGTCTAGCTCCTAAAATGAAAGACTGTTGATTCCACACTATTAATGTTGATTATAAGTTTATATTTCCAGGTGCAGAACAGAGACAAAACAAGATCAATCATTCTTCCATCTACCCAGGGATAGCACTCCCTTTTTTTCTTCAAACAGTCACCTTACCTTATGTAAAATGTAGATTTTGGAGGGGCCTCACAGAATGTAACCATTTGCCTCACTGCCCTACCCCACTCCTCCTTTTTCTTTCTGTATGTCATGTCCCTTTAAAAATACTGGAATTAGCCATGGCACAGTGGCTCATATCTGTAATCCCAGCACTGTGGGAAACAGAGGCAGGAGTATCCTTTGAGCCCAGTAGTTTTGAGGTTGCAGTGAGCTATAATGACACCACTGCACTCTAGCTGGGGCAACAAGCAAGACCCTGTCTAAAAAATAAAAAAAAATACAGGAGTTCCCAAATTCCACTTAGGAAAAACACCACAGATGTGTCTGTGGCTGGTGTTTTTCCCAGGTGTGTCCTCAAACTTTGGCTTAATAAATCACCATTGATTGAGATCTTTGCCTCAGTCACTTATTTTGGGTTGTCAACTTCTATGGGCTTAATTTCTTCATCTGTAACATGCATATATATAAAAATGTATGTCTTTGGCTAGGCGTGGTGGCTTACACCTATATCCTAAACTTTGGGAGGCTGAGGCAGGAGGATCACTTGAGGCCAGGAGTTTGAGACTAGCCTGAGCAAGAGGGAGAACCCATCTCTACCAAAAATAGAAAAATTAGCCAGGTGTGGTGGCACATGCCTGTAGTCCCAGCTACCTGTGAGGCTGAGGCAGGAGGATGGCTTGAGCCCAGGAGTTTGAGGTTGCAGTGAGCTATCATGATGGCACTGCACTCTAGCCCGGGCAACAGAGCAAGACCCTGTCTCAAAATAAATAAATAAATAAGTAAAAGTGTGTCTTTTATTTTCTAAAAACAAATGATGTGTGTAAAAACAGTAGCTGTTACATAGTAGGTACTGAATAAATCCTAGTTCTCTACCCTACTAATTAGAAAGTTTTATCTTTCTTTCTCCAGCACCCTAATGTCTGGCACTTGATAAGTGTTTGCTGAATGAATTCACAAATGAAAGAAGAGAAATGTAATGTTCTCTTGCTATGAGATAAAGTGGTCATAAATAACTATATAAATATTCATTTTTATATTGGTTTGTGAAGAAAATTATGAATGAAAGTAGCATAACTACATTACTGAAAAATTTTAACAACTTTATTGAGCTATCATTGACAAACAGTAAAGTGCACATATTTAAAGTATACAATTTGGTATGTTTTGACATATGTATACACCAAATGATAAACCCAATCAAGACAATGAACACATCCAGACTCCCAAAGGTTTACTCAAGCACCTTGTATCCAGAATAAAAGATCCCAGAATACCCAAAAATCCCTCCTGCCCCTCATGGTCTCCTCACCATGGCCCCTGGTAACAACTGATCGCTTTTCTGTCACTATAGATTTATTTGCATTTTCTAAAATTTTGTATAGATGAAATCATACAGTTTGTGTTCTTTTTTAACCTATTTTTGTTCACTCCACATAATTATTTTAAGATAATTCAACCGTGTTGGTGCTTGAATCAGTAAGTTTATTCCTTTTTATTGCAGAGGGAAATTCCATTTTATGGATATACGACAATTTGTTTTTCCGTTCCAACTACTGATAGCTATTTGGGTTGTTATCAACTTTGACTACTACAGATAAGGTTGCTCTGAATACCCATGTGCAAATCCTTCTATGGACGTAAACTTTGATCTCTCCTGGGTGAATATCTAGGAGCAGAATGCATGGATGCTATGATGGGTTATCTTTAGCTTTTTCAAGAAACTGCCAAACTGTTTTCCAAAGTGGTTATGTTAGGTAGTTAGCCAGGGATTCCAGGTCTC